CAGCTGCAGGGAGAAACAGAGATCCCTGCTGAGCGTGGAGCTGACCTGCCTGTGGTGCTCCCGAGCCTTGGGACCTCTTGCTTTCCCACTGAGCTCCCCAAAGTCGCGTAGTTCCCCCAGCTTCACTCCTGCTTGGCTGCCCGGCGTTCCCTGCTCACCCGCTGCTTCCTACCTGCCCGGGCTTCAGTGCGTTTTAGTAACTGGAAAGCATCACCAAGGTCTAGTTTAGTGTTTGCTGCCCGTAGGCATGCAGTGGGAACGAAGACCTGACCTTGAAACCGCCCTACCAATAAAGAGCCAGGTCCTTTGGCGGCAGAGACGCCAACGCCTAGCGATGTCGCAAGGAATTGCAGGGCTGGGGCTGCTTTGCTGGGAGAAGCTCAGAAGTTCTGAGATGGGTGACAGGAGATCAAACTGCTCCCCAGACTGGGGGGAGAAGGCCGCGTAGGGTCCCACGATCTCTCTAGCTGGATTAAAAGAAAAAAAAAAAAAAAAATTGTTTCTCCGGAGCCAGCCACGTGCTCCTCAGTGCTGGTAACGACACGGCCTGCAGCTGGCAAGGGGATCGCTGCGTCTGTCTCCACTGAAAGCAACAAACTGCAGCAGCCAGAGCCCAACGCAATTTCCCAAAACCGCTTTGGTTCGAGTTGCCTACGCCCGGGGCCGGGCCGGCATGGCGTGCTCTTCTCTGAAGCCAGCTTTTGAGCGTGCTTCAGGCCTGGTGAGAGGCGTTTCCCCCTCGCCGCCCTTCCCCAGCGGTGGCTGCTGTTTCCTTAGAGAAACGCGTCTCGGCCGTAAGAACCTGCTGATGGACCAGCCTCAAGAAACGCGTATGTCTCCTTTTTAGCAAGAGGTGCCGGAGCAGGACGGGGAGGAGGACGTGCGCGCTCGTCAGTCGGTCTGATGCGTCCCAGCACCGCCGTGGCAGTCAAGTTTTAACGTAGAGCTTAGCAGCGGCCCCCTTTGGTTTCCTATGCGAGACATGCGTAGCTCAACAGGGACAGAATTAAGAGACCCATTTTTATACGGCTTAAAAAAAAAAAAAAAAAATCAGTAGTTTAGCAAGTTAAGAACTTGTAA